TAGGACGGTGTGCTGCAACGGAAACACTGCTGTTGCAGTCTCCACACCTTGCCCCTCGGATGGTTCAGAGACCTGGGGCACGTAACTCACTGATGAGTTGTACACGGGTTCTTGGTGCGCGCTCGGATCTGTGCCTCTACCTGATGATCCTGCTTGATTTCTTCTCTTCTTTCTCCGTGTTTTTCTTCGTGAGGCTTGTGATGCATAGTATGTATAAGACGTTTGATCGTCATAAGCGGCATAATTCCAACTGGAGTCAGTATAATAACTGTCCTCATACCATGAATCCCAGCTCGGTGCGGTGGAACTTTCATAGGCCTGCGGAGATCCAGTTTGGTCTCCTTGTAAGGAGGCAGACTTAGCTGTATCCTTACCCTTGCCTTTTGCTTTTGTACCCTTGAAGGAGCTTCCTTTATCTCCTTTGTCCTTTCCTTTTCCTTTGCCTTTTCCACCTTTTCCTTTTTCCTTTCCTTTACCTTTACCGAAATAGCTGGAATCAGTTGGATCATGTTCTGCCTGGTTGGCTCTCCCTTTTCCGCGGTATGACCTAAAACGGCCACGTCCTTTTCGCTTGCCACCCTTTGCTCTTCCCGGTGATCCGGGACGCATTCTTGGTCTTCTTCCCTTTTTGAATCTCCTTGCAACGAAGGCTTCATGGTCGTCAACTGTCCAGAAGACAGCTTCTTCATCCTCGGCGGCAAGAAAGCCTTCCTCAAGGGTGTCTTCGTCTTGGAGCCAGAATCCATCGACTCCGTCGTATTCACCCTGATCGAGGATGAGGAAGTTTCGACCTCCGCGTTTGCGGCGTTGGTCTCTCCTTCCATGGCGGTCCTTCTTGTGAGAAGAGTGCCGAATGTTGGGATCCTGCAGACCAGTTCTGGTCGTTGAGAACTGATCGAACATGGTCTGCCGTACCACAGGGTACGTATAGGTCTCAATTCGGTGACCTTGGTTGGTCAATGCTGTTACCAACCTCTCACGTTGCATCTCATTTAGGTCGGACTGCACTAGGAAGAGAAGAGCTAGGAGATTATCATTTAGAGGAAACGCTCTTCGATGATTATCAAGGCGTTCCTTGTTCCATGTTTCGAAGAAACGTGCGGCGTATGTGTCTCTCTCGGTTGCATCCTGTAGGCGCAAGAAGGTTTGATCTGCCTGCACAGCCTGCATGAAATCTGGATGGGCATCTTCCAGAGCTATCTCTGGTAAGAGATCCATCCATGAGTTTTTCACGCGCTGTAGCACGATCTCAAACTTAGCAATCCAAGTCACAAAGTCTTGGTTGCCCTTCCATGCCTTGAATAGGCCGAGGAAACGCCACAGGAAAACGTACTGTTCTCCTTTCACGAAAAATGGACGCATCTTCTTCTTGAAGTAATCTACTCCATCTGGGGCTGCAAGCCTTTCTCGGTTAAGTGATTCTTTTTGTACTGCGGCCAATCCGGAGAGCCTCGTCTTGAGAGACGGACCTCTTTTGGTGTCATCCAGCGTTGTTATGTCGCACCAGTCGTCAATCAACTGTTCATACTCAAACCACGAGGTGGTGCCATCATAGGCAGGCGCGATCTTGGGCGTTATGCCTAATGATGCAAGCATGCGGTCAGATGTTGCATATGACTGTGCGACATAAGTAGCTGGACCTTGGGAGGTCTCTTCGTTCTCATATCCCCCGGAGGATTGGGAACTGCCGTCGGCTTCGCTATGCGAGCTCGACATTGTGCTGCCTCTTATCCGCTTGGTTAAGCGTTCGGCGAGGCCGACCGCTGTAGCGGACTTTGTGAGGCGGGCGGCCCTTTCCGGGCTCCGCTACCAGAAAACTGTGCCGATACACCCACAAGGAATACTCCTTGTGAGGAGGTGTATGACCAGTTATTCCCTAAGGATCAAAGGGCAGCGCCCTGCACACGGACAGTAGTTGTTTTGTCTTGCTACGCAAGGAGAGCTTGTCTTGTCTCAATATGGTAAAACCACTGTGAGCCAATGGGCAGCGGAATGTATATGTATGAGCATGCAGCCATTGCTGTAGGTACCTGTTAGAGCTACCCCTTTAGAGGTTTATGGTTTCACCCCACCCGCCTTGCCCCCTTCTTCCTCTTCAACCTCGGCATCTCCGCTCCAAAGTGCTCCTTGTGCCTGCGGTTCGGCTTTGTTTGCACTTCCCATCTTGGCGTCTCCTTCTAGAACTAAACCTACGGGCCTCGCGGACACCAAACGACTTTGCCTGTACAAGTGCATTCGGCTTCTGGTCTGTCGCCCACGGGGTCGGCGGCTTGAGCCGGAGGCTCTTAAATCGGGCAGCGCTTCGCTGCCCTGTATGGACTGAGCTATGGCTCAGACGAATGAGCTTCGTCTGCGAAGCAGAAGCCACGACCGACAGTGCCGCCGACCCGCCCCGGACCCCGCATCATCGGACCCTCGTTTCTCCCTCGGGCCGCGCGGGGCCTGGCCCGAAGGCGTCTCGGAACGCGCACGCGTTTTGCAGCCATTCCCCGCGGTGTGGCGGGTTTCGGGGCCGCCGTGGACGACGCCAGGAGGCGAGCCGGCGAGCATCATGAGCCCTCGGGCGCCCGCAACCGGCGCCGGCGGCGCGACGTGGGCGCGAAGTCATAACTCCCAAGTTTTTGAGTGGGTTGCGGAAGCCGCCAAAGGGCGCGCATCATGAGCATCAGCGGGGTCCGGCGGACGGGGGGTGCGGGCTACATGCAGGGCCGACGGGGGCTGAGAGCCTACGATCACCCACAAGTTGCGCACTTCGGGCCTACGTTGCACTTATCTATATACCGCGGGTTTCTGACAACAGCTCGCGCTGCCCGCACCTGGGCGCAGCCCCTAAATTTAGGGTTTAGGGTTTAGGGAATAGGGACTTCTGTCAAGCTGGGCTTTACACATAGGCTTAGTGGCTAGAGTCTTCATGTCCTTGATGATGCGTTGCGCCAACAGAGAGTCACTGTCCGTCCAGGAAGGCAGCGCTATGGAAAGGAACTGGAGATATTTGGGTGGTTGTCAAAATTATGGTCCCTTTTTTAAATATTTGGTGCCGTATTACAGTAGGGACCCAAAGAGGGACCCTAATTTTGACAACCACCCATTTGTAACGCAAAAAGCGCAGGTTAGACAGGAGTTCGAAACACTCCTTATAAAGACCTGCCGCGCGTGTCGGGGAAAGCTGCATCGAACTGCGACCAGAGTCGCGCGACAGCAACAATTCCAAATTGCCTTGGGATTCCGGCCTCGTTCGGAGGCCTCCAAAGGGTGGGATGAAGGTAGGTAGGATTAAGGATCCCTTCTATAAGGACTCTTACTTGGGAATATCCCACCTACCTTCATCCCACCTTTTGAGGCCTCCGACTCGTGTATGGCCGATGCTATCTTGGCCCAGTTTCAGTTCCAGAAGTCCTCCCCGTCGGAAGCACGTGCGTTGCCGGGGTGGTTATGATACAGCTGAGCTGCTGAGGCCAATCTGCCGGATGGCGCGCACGATGCTAATCCAGTGCAGCTTCACCGACTCCTGCAGCGCTGCCGTGCGCGTTACGCCTTCCAGGACCAGCATGAACCGTGGATGCCTGCCATGGTAATGGACAGGCACATGAGCCAGCATTCTACGCAGCCAATCCGGGCACCGATCCCGGACAAGGGTATAGCAATACCAGCCCACCACGTGAAGCGCACAGATCCGGTGGTGGCCTTTCCAGAATCCGATGACCTCGGGGTCTTCCTCTAGGCTGCAGATCTCTAACGTATTAATCCCAGGCCCGCCACGTCTGGGCCAAGCATAGATTCTGGATCTTCTCCTTCAAGGCAGCTGCCCCGACACTTCGGAACCCGATCGTTCCGGACAACCCGGCAGCGCCCAAGTGTCTTTGAAGACACTGCTACCTGGACCCTGAATAAGCTACCTCTTTATGGGCTTATGTGAGCAAATCATAATGAGGAGCCCTAAACAGGTAGGTTCTTTAGGGTCAAGGTACGTAAACATTGAGGGTTCAGGGTGGGCGGTTCCCATGCGGGTGAGATTTGAAAAATTCAGGTTTTGAGGTTGATTCTGAGTACCTTCAGGCCGTTCGAGGCATGCTAAGGGTGTACCCAGAGCCTCCAAACCCCCTTAATTAAGGAATATACCTTAAATTATATTAGGGATCCCTAATATAATTTAAGGTATATTCCTTATTAAGGGGTTTTGGAGGCTCTGGGTAAGGGTGTAGTGTTTGGGGCTTAGGGTTTAGGATTTTGGAATGTGCGGTTGTTGTTTATGGAATGTGCCTTAATTTAAAGGCTGGACGTGATTTTGGTATGAATGGGTCTCGTGTGGCTTAAAGGCTAGGATGTGGGTTGCTTGCGGTCTATGGGCTTGACAGTGTCCCAGGTGTTGTTTGCAGAATATGCTGAGTCTTGTGTTGTCTTTCGTTGAGTTTGCGCCCAACCTCTAAACACACCCTATACATCCCTCACAAAGCCACATAGCACAATGCCCCTTATTATCCCCAGTAGAAGCTCTACGTAGCCCGCCCCCTCCCAAAGCGAACCTAAACTCCCACCACACCCGCAACCCGAAACTCAGAACCCCCAACCCGTAAACCCCTGAACCCCAATAGTGCCCTTAAAAGGTTCCCTACACCCCAATAGCTAAGGGGCCCTTACGGAATCCTTGCAGGAACCCTAAACCATACTGTACTTAGAACCCTAGCAAAAATTCTAATTTTAGCTGTTTCTTCGGGATTATAGTAACCAAAAATTAAAACTATTTCTAAGTACCCCTAAGTAAACCCCAAACCCTCTAAACCCGCTAAACCCCCGAAACCCTAGACCCTAGACCCTATACATCCTAAGAACCCCTAAACCCTCTAAACCCCCTAAACCCCCTAAACCCTAACCCTAAGGCTCAAAATGGCCCACAAGCCTTACATAAGATGGTCTTTAGACGCAAAAGCCTTAAAATATGAGCCCTTAGAGCCTTAGGGTAAGTAAACCATCGAGCACCACTGCTTTCAGCTCCAGAGGACCGGCGCTCGGCTCCGTGAGCCCGGGGTCCACACCGCCGTGCCCTGGCGCAGGGAAGTCGAGGGTAAAGGATCCTTTAAGGGCTCCTTTAAGGGTTCTTTTAAGGGCTCCTTTAAGGGTTCCTTTAAGGGTGTTTGCAAGGGTTCCTTTAAGAGTTCCTTTAAGGGTTCTTTTAACGGGCCTTTGAAAAAACCCTGATAAAGGGCACTATTGGGGTTTAGGGCTAGGGCTTGAAAAAAGAGCACTAGCAATCATTAGCCCGTATGTTAGGAAGGGGCCCTAGTGCCGAGGTGTTCTTGCTCGTAATGCAATATTCCCTGCACCCGAGTATATACCGAAAGTGAAAAACCTCCCTAAACCCTAAACCGTACATCCTAAGCACAAATACAAACCCTACACCGCAAAATAACCATCGTAAACCCTAGTTATAACACTAAACCCCAAATCAAAGCGCCCTGAACCCCAAAATCAGCACCGGGAGATCTAACCTGACAATTGTCAATGAAAGCCCTAAACACTAACCCTAAACCCTAAGCTCTAGCCTCAAAAGGGAGACCCCAAGGGTAAAAGGAGGGACCCTTAATAAGGACCCCTAGGTATATACCCTTCACATAGCTATTACATATCGATTATATAGCCCAGTATAGGGTAGGGGTCCCCATTAAGGGTCCCTCCTTTTCCCTGTGAGAGAGAGGTCGATAAAAGCCCTGAGCCCCTAAACTCATAAACTCTAACGGTTTAGGGTTTAGAGTTTAGGGTTTAGGGTCTAGCCCTTGAAGGGAGCCTGACCATAGTCGATGAAAGTGCAGCTCGCTGTCTCCCTGTCGACCATACAAATCCTGGGCTCAGCGCACAGAGCTCCGGGCTCAGGGTGTGGGGCTTACGGGATATAGGGCTTAGGGTTCAGGGTTCAGGGCTTAGGGGATATAGGGCTTAAGGGTTTACGGATTTGGGTTTGTAAGGTTGCTGCGTTAAGGGGCTTGGGGGTGTAGGGGTTCGGGGTACAAGGTCTAGAAGTGGAGCTTTGTGGGGGCCGACCGAGAATCTGCGGTCGCTCAAGGACAGTAAAGGGACCTTTAATGGATGCCTCATGGTCGTTAACATGGGTATTTGAAGTATAATAGGGGGTAGTTGAGGGGTCCAGGCCAATCCTGGCTCCCATATTGGTCTAGTATAACATACCCCTCTCCACTCTAAACCATGTAAAGCTCATACCCTAAACCTTAAATTTTGAATTCTGGGGTAGCAGACTTCATCTTCACAATTCGAAGATGCCTCCTTTAAAGGACAAGGCGGCAATAAAGGTTCAGAGTAGAGCGGCCTTATAGCCTAGAATAAGGCTTCTGGGTTAGACTTTAGTATAAGACTCATAAGCCCACCTAAGGAAGAGCATTCGTCGTAGTTGCTCAACCATCTACAGTTATGGGCTTTCAAAATTTCAAGAAGCCATGGTTTGGACATAGGTTGCTTGTGCCATGGGTTTAGGGGCTTGCGCTAAATCCGAAACCGAACTTGAAGCTTTGTATGGGATGGATGCAAAGGATCATGAATGAAATGGATGACATGACATGTCCCTTTTCTTTCCTACAAAGGGTCCATGCAGCCGTATAGGACATTCTTTGGCCCTATAGGACGTACAGGTAGACACAGGAATCACGACGAACACGGCGGGCGTGCCTTGCACCATGTAACCGAGCAGTACAACTAAAGTCGGACTTCGACACACAACCGTCTCCAGAAATTTACCCGCATGTTAAATTTCAGCAGTCTACAAAGACTAACCCCCATTTTCAGTGCTCACATGAAGTCGTAACACTTGCTCTTCCACCAAGTAACCGCGCGTGACACACAACATGGCTCACACACCGTATGTTGAACGCCCTCCTAAACCCTAAACCACTAAACCGCCCTCCAAACCCCAGGCTCTAAACCCTAAACCCCTAAACCCTGAAACCCCTAAACCCTGAAACCCCTAAACCCCTCAACCCCATAAACCCCTAAACCCTGAAGTTTCATACACCGTGTCTTGAATGCTAAGGGGTTTGGCTACAGCTCGAAGACCGCTGAGAAAGCCAGAGCCCCTGAGCCTATGCCCCAGGCCCTGCTCATGAGCCCTGGGTTTAGGGTTTAGGGCACAAGGGTTTTTTTTAAAGTGCAATAGCCCCTTTTCCAGCAGAGTTCGAGCTTGCTCATGATAGAGCATGCACTGTTAAAACCCTGTCTCAGAAGTTGCCCTCCATCCTCGAGGGGTTTAGTGATTAGGGTCTGCATTTAGGGTGAGGTTTCACTGGCTGAGGTAGGGACAACATATCCAAAAGCAACCTAGTCTCCGCACGACGGTCTGCAGCACTTGTGGGCAGACCCACTGTACATGGTCGGCGGCATCCTGGCAGATGTTCGTGATGACATGACAAGTCTTTGGGGTTTTAGGTTGAGCGCCCTTGTTGGTTTAACGATCCCTAAGGCTCCATGTACCCATATAGTATATACTTAGGCCTTAAAGTACCTATATAGGGACTACTTTGGGGCTGAAGTATCTACTATAAAGGTACATGGAGCCTTTGGGGATGCCACTAAACCAAGGCGCCTGTATGGTTCTCGACAAAACTTTACTAGGGTACCCAAAAAAGGGACCCCTATGGGAGTTTCCGAAAACAAGGGGTACCTTAATTGGGGTCCTTATAATAAGGATCCTATTATTTGGGGTGCTGTAAGTACTGTATTAGGGTCCCCCTATTTTCGGAAACTCCCATATGAACCCCCCAGAAGGACTACTATGGGGCCTATGGGTAATGCCATCTTCAGCCCAGGGCCCCCGTGGTCCCGAACACTAAGCCCAAACGAAAGCCTTGAACCCCAATATCTTTCAATTCCAAGAGGTGCGACAACTAAAGTCATCTTTGTGTTTTACTTATTCACACGAGGCAAAGATCATGAAGTAGAGTCGTTTTACCGGTGCAATCGGGGGGTTCCTTATGATAAGTATTTTACAATGGGCCCCAAGACTCTAATCTAATTATTCAGGCTCCTACATGATCTGCAACACTGCACCACAAACAGACAGTCCCCAATGCTCCTAAGGAGCCCTACCCCTGAGGGTCCATACACCCACATAGGTTAGAAGGGGCCCCCACCCTGTAATAGTGGTATAATAGGAATATAATAGGGCCCTAATACAATCCTTATAGTCACTATTACAGGGTGGGGGCAGCTTCTAACACATAGGGTTCTGGTTCCATTAACGGCATCTAGAAGATTTAGTTAGGGTATAACGGTCCATGTACCCAAATAGTAAGTACTTCGGCTCCAAGGCACCTCTGTACGGACTACTTTAAGCCCAAAGTACTGGACCCAATAAAACCTTAATGTGGATCCAGCTGTACATTACCGCCTCATAAAACCCAATACGCCCATACAGTAAGAGTCTATAATGGGGCTGCTATTAAGGTCCTACTATATCTAGATTATGAATATTATTCAACTATTACTGAGTGGGGGCCGTACCCAAATAACCCTTGAAGAGCTCCAAAACCCCAAAGACCCTAATTTTGACAACCACTCATATATAGAATATTATAAGGTAATCCCAGAAGAGGTACTGCTTTGGGGCCTATGGGTACTTGTGCCTATATCTGCAGCCAGGGTGCCTTGTTCATGCAGCAGATGTACCTCAGGCTGTACATGGATTCCGTTTGAGGGATCTGAGATCTCCAGCCCTCACATCCGGGGAACGGCCTCGCTCTCGTTTTGGCTACTCTCTCTCTCTCTCTCTCTCTCTCTCTCTTCACTTTCTGGCTCCAACTTCTCTGCCACTCCCACCATGTCTATGTAAATCTGCACGTACTTATGCATGTATGCATGCATGCATGCACGGTATAGTACACGAGAAAGCAGAGCCGCGCATATTCCCATTCCAAAAAAAACATCAAAACCTCAATGAGGCAAGCCAGGGGCCAGCTTACACGCCCCATACCCAGCCAAATTATAACAACGCACAGAGTTTGCGCACAGAGTTTGCTAGAAGTCAATTCAGTATTGAGGCGCTAATCTGGAGGGGAGGTGGTGCGAGGGGGACCGGTGGGTGGGGGCGGGGGCGGGGCCGTCATTCATGACTTGAAAAGAGTTGAGAAGAGTTTGGGTGTACGTCTCACGAACATGTATGCGGACCATAAACAAAACAACAGTAATGCAATAATCCTAAACCATGTACTACAGTCCCCTTGTAGGACTCTTAGTTAACAAAACCTCACAAAGCCCATGAATGAAAACTAGCTGCGACCCTCATAGCACTCCCGTCTATCAAAGCCCCTAAAAGAACACAGCAGGTCGACCAGGCGAAAGCAAAGCTGCTGCTCGCAATACTCGTCCAGAGACCGCGCTCCGGAAATGGCGCGAGCCTGGCAACCGAGGCCGAAAAGGAGATAGAAAGTAGTGGCTTGTAGGGTTTAGGGGTTTATACGGTCTGGGGGTTTAGGGGCTTAGGGGTTTATAGGGTTTTAAGGGTTTCTATGAAATTTATAGGGTTTGTAGGGTTTAGGTATATGGATACACAACGTATAGCTGCATATGTGTGTACGCACATGTGTACACACGAACATACAGAATGGAAACAGGAATCTATATACATACATACATCTGCACGTATGTATGTGCATATCCGTGGACACAACTTAAGCAAACATGTACATGTTAATATGTAGAAGCATGTGCATATATATATATATGTATATATATATATGCACATAAACACATATATAAACATATATAAACATATATATATACATATGACACACATCGGCGCACATACAGTACAGTACTATACAAAACAGTACAGTACCCTATAGAGTTCAATACAAGGCAATACGATGCATACTACCATGTAAATTACATGTGCACATATATATATATATATATATATATGCCTCTGCACAGATGCACTGATAGCTGTGTGTGTGCGCGAGGTTCTCGTTAACAAGGCACATGCATGGCCCATACAGGGAAACTTACTGTGTACGCAGGAGTTTCCGAGAAAGGGGGGCCCTTATAGAGCACCCCAAATAGTAGGATCCTTATTATCAGGACCCCAAAATACGGTCCCCCTAATTTTCGGAAGCTCCCAAACCCTAAACCCTAAACCCTATAGATCCCTTATAGGAGCCCTTAAAAGGAACCCTTATAGATCTCCTTAAAGGTACCCCTAAGTTTCGGAAACTCCCACCTAGCTGCGCGAAGAGGGTAGGGATCAGGGTCACTGGGGGCAGGAGTCGGGCCCGGGGTTGAGGGCTTATGGGGTTTGGATTTAGGGTTTAGGGTTTAGGGGGTTTAGGGTTTAGGGTTTTGGGGGTTTTGGGGGTTTAGGGGGTTTAGGGTTTAGGGTTTAGGGTTTAGGGTTTAGGGTTTAGGGCTTATAGGGTTTAGGGCTTAGGGGGTTTAGGGTTTAGGGTCTAGGGTTTAGGGGGTTTAGGGTTTAGGGTTTAGGGTTTAGGGTTTAGGGTTTAGGGCTTATAGGGTTTAGGGTTTAGGGGGTTTAGGGTTTAGGGTTTAGGGTTTAGGGGGTTTAGGGTTTAGGGTTTAGGGTTTAGGGTTTAGGGGGTTTAGGGTTTAAGGTTTAGGGTTTAGGGGGTTTAGGGGGTTTAGGGGGTTTAGGGGGTTTAGGGGGTTTAGGGGGTTTAGGGTTTAGGGCTTCGGGTTGTATAAGTTATAAAATAATGGGTAGTTCTCTAAGTTAGGGCCCCCCTGTTGAAACCCAAAATAATACGGAGCCCTTATAAAAAAAAACCCCAAACGGGACCCTAATTTAGAGAACTACCCAAAGAGCAACATGGCTGGGCTTTCTAAACCCCAATGCCTAAGCTCCCTGAACCGGAAACCCAAAATCAGAATTGGGCCAGGCGGTCCCACGTCTCGTACGTGAGGATGTTGCCTGTGCGAGCCCACAACCGAGACTTGACGCCTGTTATTTCAGTGTAGGTGAGTTGTTAGGGCTCTAGGCTCTAGAGGGCTAAGGGCTTACGGTATACGGTGATAAATAAGATTTGGGCTGGAGGATTTTGAAGTCAAAGTGAGGTCTCAAACTTACTACCCTGCAGCCTGAACTTAGAACTAAAATCCCACAACGCCCGCCAAGCACTCCCCAAAAGCTGCAGAGCTCAGGACATGCCCCCCCCGAAACGAACAGCATCGAACAATCCTTAAACATCATGACGGTCCTAAAGCCTCAAAACCCTGAGACGATCAACTTCGCTAAAACTCCCCAACCCAAAATCCCAAACCCCTGAAACCCTAAACCCTAAACCCTAAACCCCTAGACCCTAAACCCCAAATCCCAAACCCCCGAAGCTTGGCCTGAACGCCCAAATTCCCCAAAACACCAGAGCTTGACAGAAACAACAGATCAGACCCGTGCAGGAAAACCCCTACAAACCCCAAAATGCTTAAGGCATCTGGGTGGTTGTCAAAATTATGGTCCCTTTTTGGGTCCCTATTATAATACGGCACCTATCATGTAGGGTACCCAAAAAGGGACCATAATATTGACAACCACCCATCTAGGGTAGGGCCTGCAAGGGATTTAGGATCCCATCCCCAGGAAAATGTCCACCCCGTAAACCCTCAAAACCCTAAACCCTAATCATCCCTTATCCACGCCAAGCTGCTCTGGTCCCCCTGGCTGCCAACAGGATCGCCCGCGTGAGCGCGGACGTACTGCGCAATGAGCTGCCGCAAGCCTGACATTTGGGGTTTATAAAGTTCAGGGATTAGGGTTTAGCGTTTGTGGCTTCGAGTCTTTCAATAGGAGTCTGAATAATTACTGGCTTACTGCATCAGACCTCAGGATATATTCCGCACACCCTATTCTGATTACGAAGGCGCTGATGTTTGGGTTCAGGCCTTTCGAGCCTTTACTTCTCAGCCTAGAAGATTGATTTCGCTGATAAACCAGAATCCCTGTGAACCGATCAAAAGTCCCAATTAGCCGGATTGAGAATGAAGCCTCGATAAAACAGGGCTATGCGGAACAGCTGGGCGACCGAGCTGGGCACCAATGCGAAGAGTAAACAAACCCTTATCCCTGCCTTGGCGCTGTAAAAACCTGCAGCTTTAGGGTTTCGTATCGTGGTTTCCCTGTTTAGTTCCTTTTTTATGTCCTGAACATGGTATGTTGTTTGTGCCGAAGGAGGACCCCAAACCTGTGAACTCCAAGGGTCTCCTTCTTCTGCTTCGGGAATACATTAGGAGCTGCCCCCACCCTGTAATAGTGACCATAAGGATTATATTGGGGATTATTAGGGCCCTATTATATTCCTATTATACCACTATGACAGGGTGGGGGCCCCTTCTAATGAATACACTTTTACTGCAGCAAGGAGCCTCAAAACAGACTTGTCACGACACATTCGCACCTAAATCCAACAGCCCAACCCCGAGCGCGAAATTACATCCATGACCCCTGACCGCAGCCCTTCAGTAACCCTAAACCCTAAACCCTAAATTAGTAAACCCCAATTCCTAAACCCTGCTAAACCCTGACCCCAGCCCTTAAGTAAACCCCTAAACCCTGAACCCGAAGCCTCGAGCCTAGGGTTCCCAAAAAAACTTCACAACCCTTTTTTTGTAGCATCTGTACCCGCACCCTAAGGAACCTGCCTTGTTAGGGCTCCCGAATATGATTTCTTTGTGTAAGTCCTTAAACAAGGCAGGTTACTTGGGGTTAAGGTAAATACTTGCCCAGCATCCTAACCTTTGGGAGTATATTGGCCCATTCGGGTCATCGAGGGATTGTAGTAACCCCCAAAAAGTCAAAGGCAGTTAGAGGTTACCGACTCGGCAGTACTCCTTACAGTAGCCCTTGCAGTGGTGGCATATCTCTCTCCCCAGAGATCTGACCCTAAACCTCGCACCCTAAACCCTGGCAGAGTCGAGATGCAAACGATGAAGGCAGCGTCGTTTCGAGCTCTGTTGAATTCGTCGGTAACCCGCCGCAGCCTCACTCCGATAGATGCAGGGATGCCTATAGTCTCCATTGTAGTTCCTTTTTTTGGCTTAACCAATTCTATATTAATTCTATATTAGGGAGGGATCCTAAAAGGGAACCCCAAAAAGGAACTACAATGGAGACTATAGGTGAATGCTTGGAACAAGGTTCCTTCACTCGCTCCTGTCAAGGGGTATATTCTTGAAAGGTCAGTTTAAGGCTGTAGTATGCATAGAAGCATATAGAGGCCTTAGCAATGAAATAGTATCGGGTTTCGGGGAAAATTGCACCATAACTCTAAACCAACTCAAATGCGGACACTGAGTTATCCAGACCCCCCACGACAAGCTGGGTCTCTAAAACGGCACTGTGATGCACAGGTAAGGTTTGGGGTTGGTTTAGGGTTTAGGGTTTAGGGTTTAAGGTTTGGGTTTGGGGTTGAGAGTTGGGGGTATCTGACAAAGCACCCAGAGACTCCCCAACCCTTCGTTGGGTATAAGGTTTACGGTCGCGAGTGGGTTGTGGAATACTGGACCCAAACTGAGAGATTGCGGTCAGGGTTGAGAGGTTTAGGGTGTAGGGATACGGGAGTTAGAGCTTCGCATCGCCACATACATTCTACTAGCAAGAACACATAACACGTACTCACCAAGTCCTGTGACCGTACATGTTTTGACTTGTACAAGCGTGTACGACATGCTATACACCTTAATGAAGCAAACATCAGTTGTTTGAACACCACTAGAAAACGGAGCAGAACCAAAACATGTGACAACGAGAGCCAAAGGTACTGTCTCATGGAAAGTCAATAGCAATAAGCAATAAGTACAATGAGAGTTCTTACAAAGCCCATGTGAGGGACTCCTACAGGAAGACCACTGACTGCAAGCTCCCGAGAACCTGCAACCCTGAAGGAAAGGATGTGTAAATAATCCCTTAGGGCCCTCAACCCCTTTAGGGTTTAGGGTTTAGGGTAAAGGGGTTGAGGGTTTAGGGTTCCCTGAAGCTTAAAGCACAGCAAAGGCTAACTCCATCGAGCCGCAACGCGCGCACTGCATCGCTGCTGCTGCACCGCGCTCGCCTAGTAAGCTTTCTTCTGGTGTTCAGCGGAGAGGGATTGCAGGTTTCGATTGCAGTCCCTCACACACAAAACTCTAAACCCGTAAACCCTAGATCCTAAACAGCCCTAGACAGACCCCTGAATGAACGGCCCCTCGTCCTAAAGCTTAGCGTTTAAGGGTTGTGGATTTAGAATGTAAATAGAGTGATACGGTGAAGCTTTGCGGTCTGGGATTCAAGGGTTCAGGGGCTGAGGTTCCATAAGGTTTAACCTTGCGGTTCCTCGTTACGGTACACTCGCACAGCTGCAAGAAATAGTCGGCAGTTCTGGGTTGAGCCCGAAACCCTAGGTGCGCAAAATTCTGCAGACTTTGACACCGAGTCCCTCCACAAACCACGCGGCGCAAGTCGCCAAGGGAGGAGCAAGCAGACAAAGCCCCATGCCTACATCCTTACAACTCGGAAGCTGTCCTCTATCCGAAGCTGTCCTCTAGTCTCCAAAGCAGAAAGCTCGAAACGCAACAAACAAAATTGCCAAACCTCGCCAAGAGAAAACCTTCCATAAGCTCAAGCGACCCAGAAGACATAGCAAAGCACAGCTGGAACAAGTCCAAACTAAAAAACACACAACCTGTAACACTAAGATCCAGAACAAGACTCACGAAATGTTTTTACATGGTTAACGACCATAAGGGGCATATACAGTCTACACCCTAAACTCCAAACCATTCATTCATAACATAAAGAACAGCGCACTCACACAGAGCAAGAGCGGGCAGCTTTCCCAAAGGCTCCATGTACCTGTATAGTAGATACTTAAGCCCCAAAGTAGTCCCTATATTAAGGCCTAAGCATATACTATATGGGTACATGGAGCCTTAGGGTTTGCAGCCCGGACACTGCGCGGCCCAGGCTTTTAGAAGCCTGCGACATATCCGGGCCTCTGCATCGAGTGAGGAATCTTTGCATTTCTAGGTTCTAGTGCTCATATGGGCGTTTCCGAAATTAGGGGACTCTAATATAATGCCCGAAATAGTACCCCAAAATACGGTACCCCCAATTTTCGGAAACTCCCATACAGCAAAACTTTCGCGTGTTGTTTAAGCTGCTTTGAGGTTAAGGGTCAACAGTTAGGAGGGGTTGGGCGCTTGTGTGTCTTTGTGGTGACGGCATGCAGCCCTTAACCCCAGAAGCTACAGAAGTTAAGACCTGAGCCATCGCCCGTATGAGCCTTGTCGCTCCAACATCCTTGAACCCTAAACCCCCGAACCTTAACCCTAAAACCCTAAGCCCAAACCCTCAAACCTGGAACCCTGAAACTCCAACACACCCCTAAACCTCCAATACTCCAAACCCTAAAACCCTAAAGTCCTAAACCCTGGCTCCTTGAACCCTTAAAGCTTGCACTCCCTTAAAGGAACCCCAAGCCCCCCTTAAAGGAACCCTTAACCCCGCAAAGGGGAACCCTTAACGGCACCCTAAGCTCCCTTCAGGGAAGGCCAGTGGTCTATCCATGCCCCAAGCCCGAAACCCCGGCCCTCATCCGAAAGCCAAGGGTTTAAGGGTTTAGGTTTAAGGTTTGGAAGGCTTAGGGGGCCAAGGGCTTAGGATCCATAGGGCTAAACTTTGCAGTCTAGGGCTTTATTAAGGGCTAGAGGGTTTAAGGGTTTAGGCGTAAGGTTTGGAAGGCTTAGGGGGCCACGGGCTTAGGATCCATAGGGCTAAACATTGCAGTCTAGGGCTTTCTTAAGGGCCAGAGGGTTTGGGGCTTAGGATCTTGATTGGGTTGGAAACTGACGGTTTTGGGGTTTCAGGCCCCCAATACTTAGCGCAACCAACCCCGAATGAACCAAAACAACAACGCTTGCAACTGTTCCTCAAGGTGTTACTCTAACAAACATAACATGAATTGCACTGGAATACATCCGGAACATCTCAAAGCCTCCAAGCTACCCTTATCTTGTATCCAAACCCATATCCCTAAACCCTGCTAGTACTTCAGGCCACCGTTTTGGTTCACTTGGACTCTGCGAGCGCGCCTGATTTCCAAACGGGCCGTCCCGGTGGGGCTTCAACCTCTCCAGGTTACAGGGTCCTAACCCTAAACCCTAAACCCTAAACCAGGATTTACGGTTTAAGGTGTAGCGTTTAATCAGGGTTTAAGGTTATAAGGGCTTCGGCTTGGGGCTGAAAGGGCTATGTACGATAGTTTTGTGCGGTCTTAGAGCAGCTTTACACGGGTATGTGAAGGGTTTGTGAATGTTTTCTTCGGTTGTAGTCGGTTGGATTCTCAAACATGATCCCTACTACCCCTTAACCACAGAAGCCCTTTCCCGCTCTCATGTTGCCCTAAACCCAAAGCCCCAAACCGGAACTTACGAAAACCGCAAGCCCTAAACTCTTACAGTAGAAGCCAGAAAGTTGGAATATCATTATCGTAACCCCTTTAAAGTAAATTATAGGGGATCCTACCATTAATCCATATTCCAACTTTCTGGAGTGGCGTCTCGCGTCCAGGGGCTCAAGGGTTCTCGGTCTCAAGACCCTATTCTCAAAAGGGAAAAGGAGGGACCCTTAATGGGACCCCTACCCTATAATGGGCTATATAATGGGTATATAATAGCTATATTAAGGGTATATACCTAGGGGTCCTTATTAAGGGTCCCTCCTTTTACCATTGGATATTCTGCTTGTTAAGGCCTCTCTGCTAGGATTTAGGATGAGGGGGTGTTGGGGATATAGACCCTCTCAATGAGGTCCCGTTTGAGAGAGCCATAAGTAGGGTATAGAAGGGTCCCCGTTGAGGTGTCTCCCCAATACGACCTAAGCAGCCTCCTAAAAGAGGCTCCGGCACCTTCCCTCAATTTCCCTAGGAATTTTCAGGGTTTAGGATTTAGGTTAGGGTTTAGGGTTTGGGGTTGTTCCGTTTTGGGCGTCCGGGCCTCGCAAGAAAGGTGGGGGCAGCATGGTACGCTTCTTGTGTGGGTTCCTTCCCTCATGGTTGGGGTCCTGTGAAAAGAGACTGAGGTAAGCAAGAACAGGTACTGATCCAGGTAGCGTCGGCTAGAGTTCAACACCCTGCAATTCGAGACAAACAGACCAAACCGAAAACGACAAGCCCCAAACCACAAAAAACGGTGCCCAAATCCTAAGGCCTATCCTGGGCTCAACCTGAAGTCGAATTCCGATAATGCAGGGGCCTCAACCGTTGGAACATGGTTTTTGGGGTATATCACACAATAACGAAGTGCTGTCAGGAATAGCAGAACTACCTATAGTCTCCATTGTAGTTCCTTTTTGGGGTTCCCTTTTAGGATCCCTAATATAGAATTGGTTAAACCCAAAAAAGGAACTACAATGGATACTATAGGTAAGTGCCGAGGCTTCTTTATCACATCCTCTCCTCTACCCTAAACCCTAATGGAATCCTCACGAAGCTCTTCTATCCTGAGCTTTAAACCCTAACCTTAAAACCTAAACTCCTGACCTTAAAGGCCTCTGACTACAGGACGGAACCCTATCCTATTGCCTTAGACCCTAACCTGATACCCTGATATCAAACCATTATAGTAGAAGCCAGAAAGTTGGAATATCATTATCGTAACCCCTTTAACGTAAACTATAGGGGATCCTACCATTAATCTATATTCCAACTTTCTGGAGTTCCCTATAGAATTGTTTGGATTGCTCGGTTCAGGGATTGGGGTTGAAGGTTCAGGGTTCAGGGCCCCAAAAAGGAACTACAATGGAGACTATAGGTAAACCATTAAAGGAACCCTTCAAGATGCTCCGCCGAAGCGCTGCGCTGCCAGAGACTGCGCGTGGCGCACGGCGCCCACGGCCAGGGATCGCTCTAACCAAGCGAAGAGGACGGCCCGGTAGTAGCCTGGGGTGGTCTTTCATGAGCTATTATATACCATTATAGGGTAGGGGTCCCTCCTTTTGTCCTTGGGATGGTGTTGTAGTAGGGGTGCCCGGTAGTAGCCTAGGATGGTGTTGTAGTCGTTAGGGTTTCGGATGGTTTAGAATCTGGGGTGATTAGAGTAGGGTTTCGGATGGTGTTGTAGTAGGGGTGTCGGGGTGTAGGGGTTTAGGATTCAGGGTTTAGGATGGTTTAGGGTTTCGGGCTATAGGGTGATTGGAACAGGGCGTCTGTGACCGTCTGTGTAGCGTAAATTATGGGCTTTGTAAGGGCTTGGGGCTTCGGCAGCTTTTGGCTTTAGATGCCAGCGAGGGTGGCATTCGGGGTTCAGGATTTAAGGTTTGAAGCTCATGCCCCCTTTTGGGTCTTACAGATTCCCATCTTACCGGAGCCTTAGCTCAGCCTAGGCACCTCAAAACACCTTTGGGTGGCTGATGAGTTTCACTTTTCAAAAACGAAATCCTGTGGCCCCGATCTGGGTCTTGAGAGGCTTGAGCTGGGTTTAGGATTGCTAAGGTTTCGTTCCAAGGGTAAAAGAAGGGACCCTTAATAAGGACCCCTAGGTATATGCCCTTAATATAGCTATTATATATCCATTATATAGCCCATTATAGGGTAGGGGTCCTCATTAAGGGTCCCTCCTTCTCCCCTTTGATTCGGGTTTACCTAGAGGCTGGGTGGTAGTACCTGTTCGGGGCTACCTTCTTGTTTGATCTGGGTTCTTGACCATACAACAAGCCATCCAGCAAAAGTACCCAAAACCCAAAACCCAAAACCCTAAACCCTACCCCTCGTCAACTTTGCGACCCCCGACTCCCAAATCGTATCCGGCAGCTTGATACTTCCTGGGACCTCTGAACATAGTTGCAAACAAACTCCTCTCGGGACGATGTACATATATGTTTGGAGTGCTCGGACCCTAACACACTCCGAAATCCCAACTCTAAAGCCCTAAGCCTTAAACCGCACACCCCCGTAAACCCTCATCGTACGAGCACACACATAACATGATACTCGATACTGCTCAGAGCCCTCATATAACACGCATAAAAAATCCCAAGCCCTCTACACCCTAAAACCTAGAGCCTGCACCCTAAACACCCTACACGCCCCAACACAAACCCTCAACCCTAAAACATCCTGAATCCGAAAACCCTACATGCTGAAACCCAAGCCCTAAGCCCGTTCCCTTACAGGAACCCGAAGCCCCCTTAAAGGAGCCCTAAGCCCCCTTAAAGGAACCCTAAGCCCCCTGAAAGGAACCCTAAGCCCCCCTAAAGGAACCCTTAAATCGAAGGAACTCTCAGCCCCTGAGTCTGATCCAAGGGGCAGTTGCCGTCGCCGCGGACCGGCCGCCAGGCTTTGAAGGACCGGGCCAGCTCGCCGAATTGCCTCGAAGGGTTCCTTTAAGGGGGGGCTTAGGATTGAGGGTTTAGGGTTTAGGGCTTAGGCTTTAGGGTTTAGGGTTTAGGGTTGATAAGGAGCTCGCCGAATTGCCTCGAATCTTCCCCTAAGGGTTCTAAGGGATCTCTAGGGTTCCTTTAAGGGGATCTCTACAAGGTTTCCTGTAAGGGATCTCTTGGGTTGCCAGCTCGCCGAATTGCCTCGAATGCTCGAGGTTTAGGGACTTAGGGTTTAGGGTGGAATTAGGGTTCAGGGTTTAGGGATTTAGGGTTTAGGGTTTAGGGATAGGGATTTAGGGTTGATAAGGAGTTTGGGTTTTTCAGCTTGGGGAGTTAAGGTTTAGGATGTAGGATTCACGGTCCAGTACCTTCTTCAAGAAAAACTCTACACCCCAAACCGTTTTGGGCACGCGATCTAGGTAGTTTAGGCGGCATTGCTTAAGTGTATTTCGTGTAAGAAGATAGGTACAGGTAGCTTAAGGCTTTAGGTTTCAGTGTATTTTTTTCGAAAGAAACACGGCTAGCTTCGGGGTTCTCAATGCATAGACCTATTGGTTCAGGGCTGGCAAAGGACGGTTTAAGGTTCACTAGACTCCCCTTTGCACTTACTTCCCCGATTCGCAAGATTGAATATGGATACCCCAGCGATCCCCAAAACCCGTCGGCCCTAGACCCCCTCAAGACCTGAACTAGGCTTCCCTGGGCTCTTTGAAAGGGTACTTACTTTTCAGACTAAATGAAGAGGCTCCAACACAACAAGGGCACTAGTGTATAGCTGAAGGACCTTTGAAGTTTGAAAGCATCAAACCCGAATCCCGGACATTCCCTAAACACTCAATCCTGAAACCCCAACAGCTTAAATTCAAACAAGCTGAAGGACTGCTGCAGGTTGGCATTGTGCGGATACTGCTGCTGCAGTGTCTCCTGGGCGGTCCATCAAGCGTAAACCCTGCAATCGCTGGGATTTGGAGTCTATTTCTAGCCCAAATACCCTAAACCCTAAGCCCTAAACTAGCCTTTTTCAAGGAATGACATAAGGGAACCAGGAGTGGGGCTTCTCAGGGCTTTAGAGTTCTGGTTTTGGGTTTGGGGTTGGAGGGTTTAGGGGGCTGGGGCCCCAAACCCTAAACCCTAAATTTTAAACCCCTAAACCTCAACCCGAAACTTCAGCCGCGAAGGGTCTACCGAGGTTGGGCTTTCGTCAAAGGCAAGGACTTGGCGAATGAGAGGTGTAGATGTGAGCCGCAAGCACGCAATCCCCGAAACTTCAACAATAACAGAGCGTATAACATCGACACACACACACACACACACGCTGCTATACACCTAAACCCCTAAACTACCAAAGCCTAAAGACAGGAAAAAGAAATCCTACCTATAGTCTCCATTGTAGTGCCTTTTCGGGGTTACCTTATAGGATCCTTAATATATCATTGGTTAACCCCAAAAAGGGAACTACAATGGAGACCACAGAGGGGTTTAGGGTTTAGGGTTCTTATGTACCCTAACAGGGTTCCTTTAAGGGTATCTTTTCTATAGGGGTTCCTTTAAGGGGATCTATGGGGGTTCTAGCAGGGTTTAGGGTACATTCCCACGCCGGCACGCGATGGGCAGCAGCGCTGCCAAGTTGGTTGCGTTGCCGGGCTCCGGACCCAACTCCTCGGCTCAAAGCACTCTGAGGCTCCAATATCCCTTAGTGAAGGAGTATTCCTTAAATCAGATTAGGGATCCTACTATAATAATTTATGGTATGATTCCGTAATTAAGGAGTATTCCTTAAATCAGATTAGGGATCCTACTACTATAATTTATGGTACAATTCCGTAATTAAGGAGTATTCCTGAAATCAGATTAGGGATCCTACGATAATTTATGGTACAATTCCTGAATTAAGGGATATTCCGCATATCATATTCGGGATCCTACTATAGTTTAAGGAATAATTCCTTAATTAAGGGATATCGGATATTGGAGTCTCTGGGCATGAATCACTTGCGGGCGCTTACAAGGGGTGTGTCGGGCTTTATAGAAATGCATGATAGGGCTTTCTAACGTTTTCGTTTGAGGGTATTTAGGGTTTTGTATAGGGGTCAAGAGATGCAAGATTTTGAGGGCGCATACAAGGGCTTTATGAGGTTTTGGGTGTAAGGTTCAAGAGATGAGAGACTTGAGAGCGTTCCAGAACGGCTTCCTAAGGGTTGATCGAAATCTACCTTCAAGGAGTTCTTTACAGGTTTCTGAAGGGTCCCCTTTCTCCTTGATGCGTTTTGTAGGGGCGAACAGACCGTAACGTGATCAGTAAGTACACACCCCTGTCTTATCGAACTTCAACGTAAAATAAGCTACTCAAATTCCACACAGCCCTCAACCCTGCACCCTCAGCGCCCCTTGAAACGCACCCAGTACTGTATATCCAAATTTCATGCACCCTAGACTCGCCCTACACTCCGACTGTCGCACTGCATGTCTCCTGCCTCAGATTTCAGGCTACACACCCCTCAACCCTAAACCCCTAGTATGGGAACCTTATATGGGAGTCTGAACAGGGTTGGGGGAGAGACAAAAACTATACTATAGGGGCCTTAACGATTAGAATAGGGTTTGGGGGTCTGTTATACTTTAATTAATTGTGATAAGGAACCACCACAATAGTATAGGTAATTATTGAGGCCTCTCTATTACTCTCCTCTACTCTACTGTACTATGCTGATGTGTTACTACACCTCCGGACCAACCCAAGCCCTCCTCCATATGGGTGGTTGTCAAAATTAGGGTCCTTTTTGGGGTCCCTATTGTAATACGGCACCTAGTATTTAGGGGACCCAAAAAAGGACCATAATTTTGGCAACCAGCCATGTACAACCTGAAGCCCCCAAACCATGAATCATTGGGCCGAGAGACGCTAGGAATCTCATCTTCCTCCTCTTCCTCCTGGAGCTCACTCTTGTTGCAGGGGTTTAGGGCTTAATTTATACAGGGTTTAAGGACTTGCGGTCTGTAAGGGCTTAGGACTTCGGGGATAAGATTTGGGGTCTGGGGTTTAAGTTTAACAGTTCATAAGGGCTTGCGATGTAGGGTACAGGATTTCGTGTTTAGGGCAGAGCGAAGGTGATGGGTTGGGTATGTACAGGCATTCACGGCGTGAGCGCTGCGAATGCTTATCCAGGGGAGCACGACTGAGACTTGATCCGACAAATCCAAAACATCCGGAGACCGGTCTCGTAGACATTATGAAAGTTTCCGAAAATTAGGGGGTACCTTCTTATAGGGTCCTTATAACCAGGATCCTACTATTTAGTACACTATATTGGAGTCCCCTATTTTCGGAAACTCCCTTATGGCCATACAAGAAGTCGTTTCAAAGTGCTGTGCTGGGTCGGCTTGCTGCAATAAATCCGTTTTACACACACAGGCAAGCATGAGAAAGAACCCTGTAAGGAACCCTGAGAAACACTGTCAAAAAACTTCGATTGAGACCTTGGAATGGTACCATCAGGTACCCTCATAAAACCTTAGTAGCACCCTATACACCGGTGTTTGATATATGCAAGAACCTATAAACCTCTACACACACCGTACCAAAGCTGCCGGAACGTCCTCGGAGCACTCGGGTAGAGCAGCGCTGAGCGCCGGCGCCGCAGTGCGAACCTGCCTGGGTCGACTCAAAAACATACGTATTTAGAAGAATAATGAAAGAGGGTAGCCTCGTATCGCGCCGCTCGGCATCGTGTAGTGTACAATGAAATCTAAAGTTTCGTATATAGATGGATATAGCACAGGAGAGCTTATTATACCGTGTTGAACTATGCCGTACTACTCTGTATTCAACACTATATCATGCCCCCGTGCGGGGCCAAGGACCCACATAGAAGAGTTTTAGGTCTCCAGGGCCATGCTTCCGTTGGTAATTGCCTGCAACCCTGCTACTTGGGTAGTTGCTTGAGTGGAGGCCACAAAGGCTCTCTTACTGGGACTTCGAAGGGTTCTATATGTAGGTGGCTGTCAAAGTTATGGTCCCTTTTTGGGTCCCTATTATAATACGGCACCTATTATTTAGGGTACCCAAACAGGGACCATAACTTTGACAACTACCCATGTAAGGTCTAGGGTTTAGGCGTCTATAGGTGTGCGAGGGTTTTAGATCCATACAGGATGTCATGAAAAACACCTTGAACCTGGCTCAAGAGGGTGTTTGAGCTCGCGTTGCGGAGTTTAGGATTTCTAAAGGGTTTTAGACTTCAAAGTTTCAACGTTTACTAAAGTTTAGGGCTTAGAGTACGGTGGTGAAGGATTTCCTGTACACAAGATTTGGGTTCTGCGGGCTCAGGGTTTGGGCCCGGCGTTAGAAACTTTTCGGATGCAGCATCCCCCTGTTCTAGGGTGGTGTGCAAATTGTTGCTTTGGATACTGGGTTTAGGGTATAGGGTATACCTAGAGGCTCCATAGTAGTTCCTTTTGGGGTTTCATATTTAGAGTTCTATAAGGTAATCCCCAAAAAGGAACTGCTATGGAGCCTAGGGTTTAGGGTAAACTACATAACTACTATCCCAAACCCGAGTACCTAATTATTGGGTCCTTTGGACCCTTAGGGTATAGCCGGATTTTTAAGGTCTTCCTACTTCTGTTTCTCGGAGACGGCTGTCGTGGTCGGGGCACTCTGCTTGCTGATGGACATCTGCAAAAGCCCTACACAACAAACAAAACCCAACACCCTCCAACTAAACCTCTAGAAAGACTTGAAGGAAGCATCTCAAACCCTCAACCGGAACCATCTCAAACCCTCAAACCTGTAAACCTCAAGCCTTGAACCCGAAAGGTTGGAGGTACGATCCTGAGAAAAAGCAGCCCTACACAAGGACCCATCGTCTAAAAGCCCAATCTAAAACCCAACGAAACATTATAAACCCCCCCCGTTATGATCCTCATAAGCCAACGCAAAAGCAAGCACAGAAACTACTTCGTATGAGATTTTGATAGAAGATGACTAATCAACTAGGGCCAGGGTGGGTTGAAGAGGTCCCCAAGCCGATGCAAAGCTTTCTGGAATACAGGATTGAGGGTACTTAGGGTTTAGGATTCATAGGGCTTAGGATGCTAGATTCAGCGTTGGGCGTTTAGGATTTAGGAGTTTCCGAAAATAGGGGACCCCGATATAGTACCCTAAATAGTAGGATCCTTATTCTAAGGACCCCAAAATACGGTCCCCCTAATTTTCGGAAGCTCCCAAACCCTAAACCCTATAGATCCCTTATAGGAGCCCTTAAAAGGAACCCTTATAGATCCCCTTAAAGGTACCCCCCTAATTTTCGGAAGCTCCCATTTAGGGCGTAGGGCAAACTTTCAGCTCAGTCGCGCCGTTCGCACGTTGCTGGGTGCCGTCGTGCTCCAAGCAGCAGGGCGCGAGGCATAGACCTAGGGTTTTGGGCTTAGGGTTAAGGGGTTTAGGGTTTAGGGTTTAAGGTTTTGGGAACTCCAGAAAGTTGGAATATGGATTAATGGTAGGATCCCCTATAATTTACCATAAAGGGGTTAGGATAATCATATTCCAACTTTCTGGCTTCTACTTTAGGGTTTTGGGTTTAGGGTGTTTGGGTTTGGGTACGGTCAAATTTGGAATATGAATACTTCTTGATTTCAAGAACCCCCTGTAACTTATGCTCTGGTATAGCTACAGCCTCAACCTTGAACCCGACCGATATGACAGGCCGGAACATGAAGAACCCACTAGCGGACTCAAATAATCAGGTAGTAAGATCCCTGAGACCTTGTTACAAGAACTCCCCTAACGCCACTATTGTTTCTTTAAGGTCGTTAACTTAGAGAACCCTAAACCCTAAACCCTAGAGGCCTAGCCTCAAGAAGCCCAAGCAACATCCCAACACCCAGAGCTTCTCAACTGAACCGGGATTCAGGGTTCGGCATCTGTCGTTTTGCATGTTTGTCCTTCGTGTTTGGGGGGTGGGGGGAGGGGTTTTGCACTAGATTGCAGAAAGAGTACTCCGTCACAATAAACCCCTCAAGTCAAATGAGGGTCGCTTTAAACATGGGGCCGTAAGGTTGAGGGCTCAGGATTTAAACCCTGAGCCCTAAACCTTAAACCCCTGAACACCTAAACTCCCAAACCCCTATATATATATATATATATAATCCCCAAAACCCTAAACCCCTAAACCCTAAAACCCGGGAGTTATCTCCAACCCAGCCAAAGACACTTGGCCCGACTGCACCACGCGGTGGCTGGGAAGCACCTGCCTGGCATTCTTCTGGCTTCGGGGTTGAGGGTTGGGGTGCGGCTATGGGCTTGGGGTGTAGGATTGAGGCTTTAGGCTTTAGGGCGTAGGATTTATAGGAGTTAGAGTTTAGGGTTGCAAGTTTCATGCTTATGCATATGAGCTATGGAGCTATGGGTCTTGCAGGAAATCCATAGAGATATCTTGCAACCCAGGCCCCTGGATTCTACGAGTGTCTTGGGGCAACACTAGACCCTAAACTCCAACCCTAAACCCTGAACTCCGACCATATGGGAGGCCCCAACTCCCAGCTAATATAGGGACCTTAATAATTAGAGTAGGGTTCTGGGGCCCATTATACTATCATTGTAGTAAGAAGCTCCCCAAATATAGGTAATCATTAAGGCCCCTATAGTACCTTATCCGCTGGACCTTATGGATCCCAACAACCAGGACAAGAAGTCCTCTGAAGGGTGCTCTGGTTTAGGGCTTCAGGGTTCGGGGGCTTAGGGCTTTAGGGTTTCAGAGCCTTGGGTTCAGTATTTTAGGGTTTTGGGGCAAGGCAATTTCAGGTGCAACGTTTCTGGGTCTGGGTTGCTAGATGCCCAAACACGACCAAGATACCTTGATCAGGGCATAGGCTTGGCGTTTAGGCCATGAGTCCCTTACTTGGATGGTCGGGGCACTTACTAAGTAGTTATTTTAGAGACTTGTAAGTACCATAACCCCAATTAGGGTCCCTTTTAGGGCTCTTATGACTCTACTTATTATCTACTTACTAAGTCCCCCGACCCTCCAAGTAGACGTTAACACCTTGAAGCTTTCGTTCCGAAGCGCCAACCTGCAGACCGGGCCTATGAATCTACATGGGAGATTTAGGAAATAGGGGTCCTTAATCTATGGTCTCCCTATATTACTGTTTTTTTTAATTTTGTTCATGTCAAACCCCAAGAGAATATTAAAACACAGTGTTCTGTTATGGTTCGAAGGGTGGGGTAGCAATAGCACCACGAAGAATAGGATCCCTGAAGGAAGGATCCCCCCAAAAGGACCACATAAGACTGTTCAGACACCCTCATATATAAAATCCAGAGCATCAACCCCTGGGTTGAGGGTCTTGAGGCTTAAGGTGTAGGGCTTGTAGGGTCTAAGGTTTAGGGTTTGAGGGCCCTGAAGCAGCGACGCCTCCCTGCGGCTGGGTCGTCGCTGAGAATGATTCAGGGTCATAAACTACTGAGCAGGGTCGGTCACAGTACTTATGCCTTTTGGGTTTAGCAGTGTTCGTGTCATATTGCATCATGTTGCTACTGGTTTGGCGTTCTGCTAAACCAACTAAACTGCTACTGGCATGTAAACCTACACAACTCCTGAACCACACACTTGCACCCGAAACCCGAAGCACACTAAGCCCAAACCCAAGGTCCCTAATTACAGTTTACAGATCCTTTATAGACCCTAAACCCTGAACCTTCGGAATCCTTGACAGAAACCCTTAAAGGGACCCTTTTGGGAATCCTTTAATTAAAGGAATCCAGGGCACCTTGAGGGCGCCTGCCCGAATGGCGCAGGCTGCGTCTGCGGCTCCATGGGGGCCCATCCAGTTCACCCCCCTGGGGGAAGTGGGGGGGGTTGGGGATGTGGGGGGGGTGGGGTTTAAGGTTCAAGTAGGGTTTGGGGTTTAGGGTTGCGGTTTATAGGGTTTAGTTTAGGGTTTAGGGTTTAGGTTTACAGGGTTTAGGGTTTAGGGTTTCGGGGTTGGGGTGTAGTAGGCGTGTTGATCTGCGGGTTTGGGTTTGAGACTACAGAAGGCTTAAGCTTCTGGGCTTGGGAGTTGGGAGTAAAGGATTGGTGTTGAACTGATTTGGGGGTGGGTTTGGGGTGAGGTCCAGGATTTATAGTGTCTAGATCCGCAGGCCTACCTGAACCCCAAAAAACCTACCTTTTTGAGTTCCTCATTGTGAGTATCTTATATCGGTTCTTGCCAGGTAGGTTGGTCAGGGTCCAGGTAAACCCTCGACCCCCCAAACCTAAAACGCGAACTCCCGAACCGTAAACGCCACTCTAAAGGCTTCTGTAAGCCAAAGACGACTCTTTGGTCCCTCGAACTGCTTGAGCCAAGGGCAATGCAGCAATTTGCGGGGGCTTGTAGGTTTGAGGCGTTTCAAGCTTTTCGAAAGGCTTCTCTATGGATTTGAACAGAACTGTCGCATCCTGGTTTTCTGTCATTTTCGGGTCGGGGGTCGAAGGTTTCCAGAGCTTATCAACGTTTGGCTTTCGGATAATTAGAGTTGAGGATGTGTTGCCCTCAAGATAGCATACAGAGGGTTGTCAGGATGTTTAGGCCCTAAGTAAGGGATAGATAAGATTGTATGCAGGGGCTCGGTCATGTCCTATTTGCAAAAGCCTACTTGTCGGGTATCATGGGGAACTGAAGGTTAACTTTTTGGTTATATAGGGATTATAAAGGGACTATACTACCCAAAAAAGGTTAAAGGTTACATACTCTACTCCTAGGAAAGTTTCGTAAGGAACCCAACCAGGGCTCAATCGCTGGGCCCCCACGTGGCTAGGCTTCCAGGTCCTAAACCCCCGAAAACCCTACACTGATACAGGGGTCGGATAAGTACCAATAGCTTTCCTGAGGGCCTTAGGGTTCCTTACTACAGTCAACGCAACATATGCCCAAAGAATCCATTCTACTTACAATAAGGCCCCTTACTATATGGCATCCGAAGATAATTGCCAGCTTTGGCTTCGTTAGGCTGGGCTCCTCCTAGGGGATTCCGGGCCCTCCTAAGCCATATCTGGACCCCGTTGGGGCGAACCCCGAATGCATTTCAGGCTTGAGTTTCAGGATCTGCAGGTGTTACATCGCGCTGAAGGCCTTAGGGCTTCGGGAGTTTTTAAGCCTCTCCGAAGGACGGAAGGCCCAAGAAACCCAAACAGAGCAGGGCTTGATATGCTATGATGATAATCAGGAATGCTGGCATAGGGGCCTTAGTAATCAGATCTTTTGGGGGGGTAGAACATAATGTGCTGTATTCAGAATCAGGAAACCTGAGGGATAGTAGTAATTACTCTTTCCTTAGCTTCCACGAAGACAGACGCTTCCTCGATGAACTCGCACAGGTGAAGCAAACCAACCTCCCGCGCGGCGGGGACCTGGCTGGGCTGGCTTATTTCGGAGTCTTTGTAGTTGGAATATAGGGTTCTAACGTATCTGGCTGACTAGCTACATAGAGACGTCAATGGAGTAAATGCTTTTCAACATGCATTCAAGCTTCATCAAGTGAACCCTAAACCCCTGAACACGATCCGTTGGCCTAAACCCTTCCCCGTGCTTCAATTCCAAAACCTTACTCTGGAAATTGGAAAGCCCTCAAACCCAAAACCTAAACCTTAGTCTCTGACATGGACCTACACCCTAGACCCTTTACGGAACCCTAAACCCCAAACCCTAAACCCCCAATCCCTAAACTGTTCCACATGCATCCCTTCGAGGGAGCTTTATTGGCCAGTCCGTTGGCGGCACCCAGTAGCCAACACGTGGACCACCCAAGGCACTTGCCACCTCTCGGCCACGCTTCGTAGTTCGGTTGGGAGCATTGGCAGCCGGTCACTCAACAGGCTGTTTGCCTTCTCCTTCGTGTTGGCCGCCTTCTCTTTTGGCTTTTTGCATTGAGAGCTTCTGCTAGAAAGGCTACTCGGATCCTGATTCGGAGGCTTTCTACAACAACACAAAGGCGAATAACCAGGTGCGCGATAGAATGGATGTTTGATGTATGGAGGTCGATGTTCTGGGAGAAAGGTTGAACGCTGAGAGCTTGAGAAACCTGTGCTGGCAACAAGGTCCATGATCGATGACGTTAGCGGCATGTTCCAATGCAGCGGCTTCCCCAAGACAACAAGTAGATGGCTCCAGACATAAAAGCCAATGCCCAAACAGCTTAGAAACGCACATGAAATTCGCAATACTAAACATGGCCTGCGAGATGATGAGGATCAACGCATCCACGAGATCCTGCGAAGATAAACTGCCGATGGAGGTTTGGGGTTTGAGGTTCCGGGCGGTTTTGGGTGTTAGGTTTAGGGCCAGGGCTTGGGTTTCAGGGTTTGCGGTTTAGAGCTGGGGGTTAAGGGTTGAGTGGTTGCACGGGGCTTGCGGGTTTAGAGTTTGGAATGAAAACTGTGACGAGGCTGGAATGCTCCTGATTTTGGACCACCCGACAGGACCCCTGACAAGAGCCTCCACTAAGTGGCTGCCAACAAGATGAAGTGACAGCTCAAATCATCCTGTCTTCCTTGTTGAAACTTTCTGGACGTCTTGAAAAACCACCGTAGCCCCAAAATCTGGCTCCTTTAAACTTAAGGGTCTGACTCTTGAAATAGCAGGTTGTAGGAGCCAAAAGGTAAGCAACCCTAAACCCTATACCGTAAACCCTAAACACTAAAACCCTAAACCCTAAACACCCTAAGTCAGTAGGGAAGCCCTTAAGGGTCAGCTCCTGCAATCCCCGACGCCCTAAATCCGCAAGCACTGAACCCGAAGGTTTAGGGCTTAGGGTCTTAAACCACACCTGGACCCTCAACAACCTACCTGTTCCAGGATTTACGTCGGGAAATCATGGTGATAAGGAACCCATGCCATAGCCCGACGAAGCAAGGGTCTTTCAAGGTCCGGGTATGCCCTCAAACCCTTGGAAACCGAATCCCTAAACCTCTAAACCCCCCGAACCCCTAAACGCCCAAGGCTCGCAACCCCTAAACCCCTAAACCCTTAATCCACTAAACCCTAAACGCCGCTTAAGCCCTAAACCCTCCGGCAATTAGACCCCTTAAAATCCTTAGCGGCAGCTCCTTCTTGATCTCCGCTGTACCATCCTCGCGGAGGTTCGAAGAGAGGAAAGACATCAGCACCTTGCAACTGGGTTCGGTTGTGGGCCTCGGGTTCAGGGATTCTGGTTTTGTTTGTTGAAGGTTTCACATTTCGGGTTTAGGGTTTTGGGTTGAGTGCTTATGGTGGGTCTTGAGAAGGTCGTGCAGGGTTGCTGTAATGGTCGTATTGCAGTACATTCGTTTCATCAGTTGCTAGTTGTGATACGGGGGTCTAGAGACTCTTTCTCCCAGGAGCTTAACTTTTGCTGCCCTGACCCTGGGGTTTCATTGGGTTCTGTACACGGGATGTGAAGGGTGCTAGGGAACTTAATTTTAATTGGTGTTACCACGACAAGCTGAGAACATAGTCTTAACTCTCTGACGCTTTGTGTGTATGTGTGCGGGTAAGAATATTTCCTGGCATAAGCATATGTTCCTGCTCCGGACCCATATGGTACGTATGTATGTGCTACTGTCATAGAATTAGGCCCCGAAGGACCATCCTTGGTATGGCTCCGAAACCTAAACCTAAACCCAAAAGCCTCTTGATTAAGCTCCTGAGGAGAACCGTTTGCAAAGTCGGCGATGGCTTGATACCAAAAGCTTTGCGTTTAGAGCTCTAGTCAGGATGTCATGATACTTCCAACAAGGCTTTTCGCAAGCCCACCTATAAATTAGTCTACTGTAGTTCCTTTCCTTGGTTACCCTATTATTGCCATAGTAGGCACACTGGAGACATCCATGTCAAAGTTCGGTATAGGTTACCAAGAGGGTCCACCATGCCCCTAAAACCCATAATGATCATGGCCTTTTGAACCTGATTTCTAAATGGTAGTATATAAGGGCCTTCGTAAGTGGAATAGGGTTTTAGCGCCCTTATGCTATACTTCATAATAAGGAACCCCGAAATTGTATAGGTAAGCATTAAGGCTCCTATAGTATAAGGATCCTTGGGTTCATTCGCATGCTATTCGGTCGATAGGACCGAAGTGACTATGAGGCTTCGGACTTCCATGGTGGCCTGGCTTCAGGTATTGGCGTGCTTAGCTTGGGCCAGGGTTTAGGGTTTAGGGTAGTGGGGTTTAGGGTTTAGGGTATTAGGGTTTAGGGTTTAGGGCAGTGGGTTTAGGGTTTAGGGTATGTGCGATTTATGGCTTAGGGCTTCGGGATGGAAGCGGCTTGGGTGTAGGAGACCTCAAACCTAGTCAGACAGTGTTTTCCTATACCCTACGGCAAAGACCCCATCCCCCTAAAACCCCTGATCTCCAAAATCCTACGGCCCGAATCCCACAAACCCTGAACTCTAAGATTCTTTTAAGCCTAATGTTGCTCATCATACTGCCTTAGAGTCCCTACATAATTGGAGTGTATTTTACCCCAAACCCCCATTGTAAGTATCAAGGCTTCCAATTTTTTACTACGTCTGAATACCTAAATGCTTAATTATGGTAACCCTGAAAGAAAGAGAAACCCTTCACGGGAACCTTCAAAAGGGAACCCTATTCCAACAATTAAGGCTCCAAAACCCTGAGCCCTTATTATAGTTTCTGCGAGCCTTGCACCAACCCGTGCAGAACGGGAACTGAGCAGGAACCCTGAAAATCAGCCCTCTCCGAATGGGTTAAACCTACTTAGTCCAGTGTCCTTGAGGACACGAGGTTAAGCTTTGGGAGTATATTATATGGGAGTTTCCCAAAATAGAGGTACCTTAT